GTATCAGAGATAGTAGGGCAAGGGAGATCAGGCTCTAGTTTTCTTAAGAAGGTTTGCCCTCACAAAGTGTTTTGTAAAAAAAAAATCAAAGAATAACCATATATCTGATTAAAAGGCATATTATTTAAAAAGCTAACAAAAGAATATTTAAAGTTTGAAATATGAATCAATATATAAAATTTTTTTTAGTTACCACTATTTCTTTTTCTGCTCTCCATGGCTCAGTTTTATTTACTTTTTTCTAATTGTATTTTTCCATTACCATTTATCCCCTTTATATCTCCCTGATACTTTATTGAATTCATTTATCACTTCTAGTAGTTTCTTGGTGGAATCTTTGGGGTTCTCTATGTACAGTATTATGCCATCTGCAAATAAAGATAGTTTTACTTCTTCCTTTCCAATTTGGATGCCTTTTATTTCTTCTTCTTGTCTGACTGCTGTGGCTAGGACTTCCAGTACTATTTTGAATAAAAGAGGTGAGAGCAGACATCCCTGTCTTGTTCTGATCTGAAGGGGAACACTTGTAGTTTTTGTCTGTTGAGTATGATGTGATTGTCATATATGGCCTTTATTACATGTAGGTATGTTCCCTCTAATCCCACTTTGCTGACAGTTTTTATCATAAATTGCTGCTAGATTTTATCAAATGCTTTTTCTGCATCTAGTGATATGATCACGTAGTTTTTATCCTTCATTTTGTTTATGTGGTGAATCACATTTATTGATTTGCAAAAGTTGTACCAACCTTGCATTCCTGGAATAAATCCCACCTGATCATGGCTTATGATCTTTTTATGTATTGCTGAATTTTGTTTGTTATTATTTTGTTGAGGATTTTAGCATCTATGGTCATCAGGGATATTGGCCCATAATTTTCTGTTTTTGTGATGTTTTTATCTCATTTTGGAATTAGGATAATTCAGGCCTCATAAAATGAGCTTAGGAGCCTTCCCTCTTCTTGCATTTTTTGAAATAGCTTGAGAAGGAGAGGTGTTATTTCTCCTGGAATGCTTGGTAAAATTCACCTGTGAAGCCAGCTGGTCCAGGGCTTTTATTTGTTGGGAATTTTTTGATTACTGTTTCAATTTCACTAGGTATAATTGTCTATTCAGATTCTCAGATTCCTTCTGATTTAGTTTTGGCAGATTGTGTGTTTCTAGGAATTTATCAATTTCTTCCAGGTTGTCCAGTTTGTTGGCATATAGTTGTTCATAGTATTTTCCTACAATTCTTTGTATTTCTTTGGTGTCAGTTGTTATTTCTTTTCTTTCATTTCTGATTTTATTTATTTGAGTCCCCTCTCTTTTTTTCTTGATGAGTCTGGTTAAAGGTTGTGAATCTTGTTTATCTTTGCAAAGAACCAGCTCCTGGATTCATTTATCTTTTGTTATCATTTTTAAGACTCTATTTTGTTTATTTTCTCTCTGATCCTTATTATTTCTTCTTTCTGCTCACTTTGGGCTTTATTGTTCTTTTTCATGTTCCTTTAAGTGTAAAGTTAGATTGTTTATTTGAGCTTTTTAAAATTTTTTGAGATATGTTGTGATACTATGAATTTCTCTCTTAGGGTTACTTTCTCTGTGCCCCACAGATTTTGGATTGTTGTATTCTTATTTTCATTTGTCTCAGGGTGTCTTTTGATTTCTTCCTTGATCTCATGGTTGACCCATTCATTGTTTAATAACATATTATCAGCCTCTACGTCTTTGTGTATTTTTCAGTGTTCTTGTGATTGATTTCTAGTTCCATAGCATTGTGGTCAGAGAAAATGCTTTATATGATTTCAGTGTTCTTACATTTATTGAGACTGGTTTTGTGTCTTAACATGTGGTCTCTCCTAGGAAACATTTCACATGCACTTGAAAAGTATGTATATTCTGCTGTTTCGGGGTGAGATGCTCTGACGATATCAATTAAACCCATTTGCTCTAGGGTGTCATTTAAAGCTGATGTTTCCTTGTTGATTTTCTGTTTGGAAGACCTATCTGTTGAAGTCAATGGAGTGTGACTTCCCCCGCTTTGACTATATTCTGTTGATCTCTCAGTTTATGTCCCTTAAGATTTGCTTCACCAGTATAGGTGCTGCTATGTAAATGTTTACTAGGGCTATATCCTGTTGTTGGATTGTTCCCTTTATCATTATGTAGTGTCCTTCTTTGTCTCTTACTATTGCATTGGTTTTAAAGTGTACTTTTTTGGGTATAAATGTTGCTATACCCCAGCTTTTTCTTCCTTTCCATTTGGATGAAATACCTTTTTCCACTTCTTTACTTTTAGTCTTTGTGTCTTTTGATCTGAGGCAAGTCTTTTGGAGACTGCATATATGTGGGTCTTGTTTTCTTAGCTATTTAGCAACCTTGTATCTTTGGTTGAAGCATTTAAACCATTTACACTTAAAGAGATTATTGATAGATACCTATTTATTGCCGTCTTATTTTTAAACCATTTTCCTCTTTTCTTTTCCTTTTTCTTCTTCTTAAAGCAAGCCCTTTAACACTTGTTGCAGTACTGGTTTGGTGTTAACAAACTCCTCTAGCTTTTTCTTGTCTGGGAAACTCTTTGTTTCTCCTTCAGTTTTAAATGATAGCCTTGCTGGGTAAAATAGCCTTGGTTGCAGGGCCTTGCTTTTCATCGCTTGCAATATTTCATGCCAATCCCTTCTGGCTTGAAATGTTTTGTTGGGAAATCAGATGACAGTCTAATTAGAGCTCCCTTGTAAGTAACAACCTGCTTTTCTCTTGTAGCTTTTAGGGTTCTTCCCTTGTTTTTAGCCTTGTCATTTGAATTAGGATGTGTCTTGGTACAGGCCTCTTGGGGTCCATCTTGTTTGGGACTCTTTGCACTTCCTGGACTTGTGTGTCATTTTTTTCACCAGACTAGAAAACTTTGCAGTCATTATTCCTTAAAATAGGTTCTTGATCCCTTTTTCACTTTCTTCCTCTTCTGGTATTCATTCCAATGATACAGATGCTGTTATGCTTCATGTTGTCCCAAAAGTTTCTTAAGCTCTCCTCATTCTTTTTAATTGTTTTTCCTTTTTGCTGCTCTTCTTGGGTGCTTTTTTCCTACCTTATCTTCCAAATCACTGATTTGATCCTCTGCTTCATCTAACCTACTGTTCATTCCTTCCAGTGCATTATTTATTTCAGAGAATGCATTCTTTATTTATGACTGGTCCTTTTTTACAATTTGTTTTTGTATATTTTTTCATGTTGTTGAGTATTCTTATAATCATTATTCTAAACTCTATATTTGATAAATTATTTGCCTCCCTTTCACCTAGTTCTTCTTTTGGAGTATTCTCTTATTCTTTCATTTGGACCCTGTTTCTTTGTCTTCCCATTTTGGTCACCTCTTTGTGTTTGTTTCTGTGTATTAGATACATCTGCAAAGTGGCTGGTTCAGACCTATGTCAGACACTGCCTGTGACTGGCCCTGGGCAACCTGTTTGGAGTTATCAGCAATCCACAACTTGTGGCTCCCTCTGCTGGGCCTGTTTGTCTGCTGAAGGAGCTAGACTGTGCACCATGTCTGGCTTCTACCGGCACCCAGACACTGGGGCAGATCAACTGAAGTCTTAGAGCTCCCAGAGCTCTAAGCTTAATTGTTAAATTTAATCATATAGATAACCTCCAGATGTACTTCTCAGTGACCTGGCTTAAGCTCTACAGGGTGGAGCAGAGTAATTCCAGTGGGCTTTTGCTTCCCCTCAGGCTGATACCACTTGGAGAGGGAGAGTGTTGTGCCTGGGAAAGATGGCCTGTGCCATATGTGAAGTGACTCAGCAAATGATCTCAGCAAAGAGACTGTTCTTTCAGTTTTCTCTCCAGAGCCACCAACACCAGACTTTTCTTATGCATCTCTAGTCCACTCTGCCCTCCCTCTGCTGGAGCCCAGTGTAAGTGGCTGCAAACAAAATTTTGTGCATTGTCCATTTAAGAGGCTTCTACATATCCAACTGTATCTTCCTGGTGGACAGAAACCCTGCTGCTTTTCACAGCTGGGTGTTATTGTTTTTTTTCCTGGCTCTGGTGCTGTAGGCTGGATAGCCCAGCTTGGGGTTTAAATTTCACACTTCTTGGGGGAACTCCCAGCCACTAAAATATCCCTCCAGAACTTAAGCTGCTGCCCATGGGAGCCCAGCAAGCCCTCTCATGCCTTCACAGTCCCTACCAGTCTCGTTTTGGTGGTGTGTTTTTTTCTGTCTGTCCTTGGCTATAAAGCTTCTCTCTAGCTAGAGTTCAGTTGGGTATTCAGGATGATTTCTCTTCAATTTAGTTGTAATTCCAGTTTGGTCCAGGGAGGAGGTCAGTGTAGCTTCCATTTATTCCTCTGCCATCTTAGGTCTCATAAATAACTTTTTAAAAGTATAGTACCACAGCTTATGGTCAAGCTGTTCATTGAAAAGAGTAATAAGAATTATAAGTAATAAAAAAGACATCACCCAGAAGAAAACATCTGATACTGATAGACTACATAATATAGAATAAACTTGCCACTGAAAAGTAGAAATGATGGACTGGAAGCACTGAATCTTATAAAATACAAGTATCTATGACTTCTGGGACCACCTTTTTTAGGGTGATTTTGGGGATTTTGCCATTTCAGAGAGAGAAGAATGTTGCTTTTGATAACTTCACATCAAAGAAGTTCTACATGTGAACAAATTTGGCTTATACAATTAATTATAAAAGCAAGAATATAAGAAAAAATTTGAAGAGAATGGTAGTTAGTAAGGTATCTAGTGAGTATTTCCTCTAAGGTTTTGGTTTCACAGTAGTATGTTAATATTACTCAGATTATATGGAATGTAGTGAAACAACACCCTTTTACAAACTAGTTAATAAGATGTTGATTTCTGTAAAATCATATAAAGAATGGGATTACTAAAACTTGGAATTTAAGAAAAGCTTCAGACTTTGTAAAGAAATCCTGAGTGACAGTTTTATTTGATGGTAGCTAATCATATGTGATTGAGTAACAACATTTATTTACAGAATTGCACACATAAAACCTGCTGTGAGGCTACATCATGCAGATTGAAACATGAGAAACAGTGTGGTTCTGGGGAATGCTGCACAAAAGATTGCAAGGTAAGAGGCCATCTGTATTTTATAATAGCTCAGAATTAATTTCTTGACATTATTGTTTATAGAAGATGGAAAACATATTTTGCCCTTCTCATTATATTATATCCAGGTAATATTGGACCCACTTTCCCACTTCAGTCCACTGGGCAAGCTATCATTTATAGAACTCTCATGGACATAATACCTGATGCTTCTCTCCTGGCTTCACCTCATCACAAATCTTTCTGATACCCACTGAGACTTCTCAATGACTGACATACATCTGGAGCAACCCCCTTATGGTCCTATTTTCTAACCCCCTACCTTACCCATATAAGGTTAGAAAGTTAGGTTAGTTTCATTTGTTGCCTAAATTGTCTTCACTGTCTTCTAATAAAGTCCTCCATTCCTTTGTAATTTATTCAATTATTGTTGCAATCATTCAGTTCCTGTTTTTTTATTGCTTTATTGTTGTTCAACTACAGTTATCTGCATTTTCCCCCCACCACTCACCCCCCACCCCCACCAAACCCACTTCCCTCCCTTGCTTCCACCCTCTGCCTTGGTTTTGTCCATGTGTCCTTTATAGTACAGAATTCCTCAGTAATTGTTCCACATCCAGTACAATTCACTGGAATCCTAAGAAGGAAAGAAGGAAGGAAGGAAGGAAGGAAGGAAGGAAGGAAGGAAGGAAGGAAGGAAGGAAGGAGGAAGGAAGGAAAAGAATGAAAGGAAAGGAAAGGAAAATAGGAAGAAAGGAGGGACTTCTGAACAAGGTTAAAGGCAAACATCTGTAGATTGGAGAAACAGTATGCTTTTATCTTTTTAAAAAAATTTCCCCCAGCTTTTTTGAGATATAGTTGACTTATAACACTATATAAATTTAATGTTTTGGTATAAGTATATGTTGCAAAGTAATTACCACATAAAGTTGGTTAACACATCCACCACTTCATATAGTGAGGACATTTAAGATTTACTGTCTTAGCAACCTTCAAATATATAATACATTATTATTAACTATAGTCACCACGCTGTACATTAGACCCCCAGAATTATTCATTTATAGTTGAAAATTTGTACCTTTGACCAACATCTTGCCATTTTCCCCATCTTGCTGCATCTGGGAACTACCATTCTACTTTTTGTTTTGGTGAGTTTGGGTGTCTTTTTTTAAAAAATGTATTCCACACACAAGATCATAAAGTATTTGTCTTTCTCTTGTCCGGCTTATTTCATTTAGAATAATACCCTCAAGTTTTATCTGTGTTGTCATAAATGACAGGATTTCCTTCTTTTTCATGACCAAATATTATCCCATTGTGTATATATACTGCATTTTACAAATACATGCATCCATTGATGAATACTTAAGTTGTTTCCATGTCTTGTTTGTTGTGCATTATGCTGCGTGAACATGGAGGTACACATAACCCATGAAAATTTTATGTCCTTCAGATACATACTTATAAATGGGATTCCCCAATCAATAGTAGTTCTATTTTTAATTTTTGTGAGGTACCTTTGGTAGTATGGATATTACAATGATGTTAATTGTTCCTATCCATGAACACAGAATATCTTTTCATTTACTTGTATCTCTTTCAATTTTTTCATCAATGTCTTATAAGTTTTTCATGGGCATGTCTTTCACCTTCTTGGTTAAATCTATTCCCTAAGTATTTCATTCTTTCTGATACTATCATAAGTGGACTTAAAAAAAATCTCTTCTTGAGCTGATCTCTGAGGAACAGAGCCAACAGCCAACAGTATCCCAGCATATATGAAGACTGGAGACCAAAAATTGTAGAAGACATTGAAAAATAAGATGGTAAGGAGAGTGCTTCAGGACAATAAGGTCCCTGGGTCCAGCAAAGGGACCAGGGCAGCTGCAGCCCCAGGTCTGGTGTTTGCCTGGTCTGCCCAGGGTTCTTGGGAGAGAGCCAGGTCAACGGCTCCCTCCCCTGCCAAACAGGATTTGAGCAGCACTAGGACAGATGTCATTGCTTGAAGTTGCAGGGAGGGGAATAAGGACAAAGTGGCAAACACATGGGGACTGTGTGCACTCACAGACTGTGGATACTGGCTGCAGCAGCTGCCTGGCCTCCTGCATCCCTACCCCTGCGCTCACACCTGAAGCCCCAGGGAGAGTGTGCACCCGAACCTGTGGGACTGGTGGCTGCCTGTCCCACCACATCTGCAGGCCCCAGATGGAGCACGCCTGACCCTGCAGCCCAGAGGCACCACACAACCAATGCCTGTGCCCCCGGAGAAGCAGAAGAGGAGGCGCACACCAGAATCTGCAAGGGCAGCCACAGCAGCACCCCTGCCCTGCAGGGCTGACTGGTTCTCTAAGAGGAGGGTAGAGATGCCCCTGAAGAGGAGAACTGCAGGGCTCAGGGAGCCAGAAATCTACAGAAAGACTTACCTCAGTGCGGGGGGGCGGGTGCTGAACTAGTCTAAAGAGGTGCTGCGAGTCCCTTGCATCTAGGACAGCAAAGAGCAAGAAGGTGGTGTGTGAGTTGCCCCTAACTGGTGCACCTCAAGGACAGTGCAACTGGTGGATTGAAGGCCTAGGCTGGGCACAGAAGGGAACTGGGGGCCCAGCAGTGAACTGAGAAACGGGGCTGGAGGCTGGGCCAGTGCAGCTCAGGAAGGGAGAAAAGCAAAACTAATTCCCCTTCAGCTTGCTGCAGCCAGGAAAACCAGCAGAACTGGCTTGGCCAGTTTGAAGCCAGCAAGAGGCTTTTTTTTTTTCCTTTTAATCCCTTCTTCCTTACTTTCCTTCTCTCTTTTTTATTTCTTCTTTCCTTCTTTCTTAATTTCCCTTGATATCTCTCCTTCCTTCCCTCTCCTCCTCCCCCTCCTCCTTCTTTTTTTGCTTTTTAAATTCCAACAACTGAGACGAATAAAACCTGGAACTGTGAAATGACCAGAGTTGCACCCAAAGAGGGGTCATCCCAACAACTGAGACAGTGAGACAAATTTCACTTTGCTACTCCAGAGAACTTGCAAGTTATTTTATATTTGTATTATTATTTTTTCATTATTCTTACATCTTTCATTTTATTAGTATTTTTGTATTTCTCTTCTTTGTGTTTAGTCTTCTTCACTTGGCTGGTTAAATTGCATTATTTGACTGGTTTCCATTGTTCTCTCTTTCATAGCGTATTTTTAATTTACTGTCTTTTACTTCACTTGTGTTCCCTTAGCACACTACTCTATGACCTATACTTCCTATTCTGGTTATCCAGATTCTGTCGTATGATTGTTGCTCCATTATTATTGTAAATAATTGCTATTCCATAGAATTGTGAATACTAAACAGCACCCCTCCCAGATGTTAGCCCACTTCACTGTTTCCTGAATTTTATTACTGCTGTGGTTAACTCTGTTCTCTCACACACTATACCTATTTACTATCCATACTCTCATTTTACCTTATTATCTGACCTCCCACAGCTCACTGCTTTCTAGATCCAAATCACAATCCTCTTTCCCTCAACAAGAGTCTTATCTTCTTTACACCCTTTCTAAAAAGTGGCTAGCTGGGTGAAATATCACGGCTAACACTATAAATAGACAAAGGATCTACTATCTCTTCTCTATGCATTGGTACTTCAAATATCATAGAATACACTCCTGCTGTCTTAAACCATTTTGCCTTGCCCCTCAAACTCAAACTCATCACAAAAAAGAGTAGGTGGAAGCTGTGAACACCAGGATACCTGCTGGAAGAGGAAACCCACCAACAAAGGAACCACCAACAGATAACAACAAAGAAGGTGAAGGAGGGAATGGAAGACACACTAACTCACCCAGGACCTATTTGGAAATACAAGTAAATGGTGGAGAAATAACTAAAAACAACCAACTGAACAAGAGCAAGAGAGAATCCTCAAAACCTTGTACACACAGAAGAACCAGCTTCAGTGCAACCTGCCCACACCTGCACAACAGAATACAAGAGGTGGTGGGTGGAGTGACCCTCAGGTAACCAGCTGGAGGGAAGGATACTCCAAAAGAAAGACCCAACAACAATCAAAACCCAAAGACATACAGAGAGCCAACATAAATGACAGCCCAAGACCAGCAAGCTCAGGAGATCCAGGAGTCTACACCACTGAATCTCACAGGTCTTTTACCATAGAAGTTCACACCAGAAACTCATGGAGGCAGAACAGATCAATTTAAGAAGTAGAGGCTAAAAAGAAGAGTCTCACAAACAATGAGAAGGCAGAGAAACAATCCCCAAATGAAAGGAAAGGAGGAAGCTCCAGAAAGAATGCTAACTGAAAGAGAGGCAAATCAACTATCAGATACTGAGTTCAAAGCAATGATTATCAGGAAGATCAATGAACTCACAGAGAATTACCAGAAACTACAGGGAAACTACAATGAACTCACTGCAAACCATATCAACATGAAAAGGGAAATAGAAACTATCAACAATGGCTAAGAGGAAATGAAGAATGCAATTTCTGAATGAAAGAACACAGTAGGAGGAATCAAAAGCAGTCTCTATGAAGCAGAGGATTGGATCAGGGAGCTCAAGGACAAGGTAGAATAAAACAACCAGAATGAGCATAAAAAGGAAAAGAGGATCAGAAAGAATGAGGAGGGGTTAAGGGAAATGCAAGACAACATGAAACATAATAATATCCATATAATAGGGATACCAGAAGGAGAAGAAGAAGAGCAAGGTATAGAAAACTTGTTTAAAAAAGTAATGATGATAAACTTCCTTAATTTGATGAGAGAAAAAGTCACACAAATCTAGGAAACAAAGACAGTCCCAATCAAGAGGAACCCAGAGAGGCCCTCTTCAAAGACATAATAATTAAAATGGCAAAATTCCAAGATAAAGAGAGAATCTTAAAGGCAGCAAGAAAAAACAGAAAGTAACATACAAGGGAGCCCCGATAAGACTAGCAGCTCACTTCTCAATGGAAATGCTCCAAGCCAGAAGAAAATGGCAAGAAATTTTCCAAGTAATGAGAACCAGAGGCCTGTAACCAAGACTA